GTCGAGCTCTCTATACCATCCTCACATCCAGGACGCTTCTTGACAGGAAGGCTCTCCCAATTGAAGAGAGCTGCCAGGAATTTTGGCAGATTCCAACCCTCCTTCTTAATGGCCGCAAGCAAAGCTTCAACCTTGTCTCCATCGCTTGAGGCAGGCTTCCGAGGGCTGCGTTCTGTGGGAGCTGGGATTTCGGGAGGAGTGGAGTACAGGATATCCATGTGCACAATTTTGAGTGGATAGAATAGCAGTAGAATAGAATAAATAAAATCGCAATAGAATAGAATAGCAATAGAATCGTGGCTTTGCGACGTTACGACGTTGCGCGCGTCGATTTTCTGATCTATAATCTAATCTTTTTGGTGCACGCGTAGGCAAAAAATTGTGCTTAACGCCTTCCTTAACGCCGAATTGACCCTCCCACCCAGAGGGCCATCCGAAAAAGCAGACCTTATACAAACAGATCGACTGTCATCTGTTTATTAGGTCAGCAACGGAGACTACGAGCCACCCACAAATAAACGTTGGGGAAAAGGTGACGTCGTTGGGAGACATTCAATTGCAAGTTGTAACCCCCTTGAAGCCGCTTTGACCAGACAGACAGTTAACGCCGCGTTGTTCTTGTAGCTTACTAGTAGAGGTGACAGAATAGACGGTAGCAATTGGGTTATGTATCGCTACGCGCCTTGCGATTTCTATTAGACTAGGAGGATAGGCTTAATGAGAACCCTATGTAAAGTTGTCGAAGTCGTTTTTGTAAACATCATAACTAGTATCGACACCTGCGTGGATTTGAATACATGTCTGCCTTATCGCGCGACGGATGTAATGGTTATTGGTGTAAATCTAATAATTGCTGATGCGAAATAAGAATTTACTTATACCGTGTGCTGCTGTGTGGAGGGGGGAGTGAAGGAAGCCCTAAATTCATTTCTGACTTGGTTTCCAACAAGGATAGCTGTCAGGAATTCAGGGGATTTCATGACTAGTTGGTGTCTGAGACCGCGTTCGATGCATGATCACTGCAGATACTACTGCCTTACGTACATATTATGTCTAAAGCAATAACTTTGTAGTGACGGTTAGTGTGAATAAAATCCATGGCGCGGCAGCGCAAAATTCCAGTTATGGGGCCTAGGCTCTCACGGGCAGGATCCCAAATTAAAACTGGGAGGATGAGAAGGCGGATATGAGACTAGAGAGATTTACTACTCCCAGCTTGAAGTGATATAGAGTCATTAGTTCAAATTAATTGGAAGAATCGTTAGCTCACGTCATCCTTGGTATGGCTTGTGCGACCTGCATCACAGCATGATTTATGTCCGCGATGTTCTTCATGCTTAACGAAGCTGCTTCGTCTTTTTGCCGCTGCAGGAATATGGACGCCCTTCATGATCACGACGTTCGATTAGATGGGAATACAGAGAATGGTGAGTCGGAGAGTAGATAGTTCTGTATCCGTGGTAACCGATGTCTAAAGAAGAGGTCGATAAAATTATACAGGGCCCGACAGGAAGCGACGGAGGTCGGCGGGTCAGTTTTGGTAGAAAAGACAGGGCACTGTGATGGCCAGCTGCCCACTCTAATGATGTCCACATTATGGCCGATCTTGCAGACGCAGGCGATCTCCCAAATGCTTGATAAGCACATCACCGTGCTCGGAATTAAAGCCATCACAATTAACGATTGTGACACCTTGCAGTCTACTTGTGCCAGGGTGGTCGTTATCGGTATGCTCGATGCGCGCTACCAGTGCACCCACTATGGCATCACCGGATAGGCGTTGGCAGTTGTACAGCAATAGGGTACTGAGGCGCGGCAAACGCGTGTGTATGGTGCTGTCCTCTCCCGTGATGGCGTAGGGTCGCAGAAGTTCAATGACCGTGTCGGACATGTCAGAAGCGACGATGCGGAAGTTCTCAAGCAGCGGGAGACGGTCGAAGATGTATTTGAAGTCTTTCGTGCGCATGTCGCTGAAATCCATGTCGAGGAGGGTGAGGGGCGGATGCGAGCGCGCGATGAGCTTCCGCAGCCCCATTCCTGTGGCGTGATCACTGGAGGGAGACTGGGAAAAGTCTTGGGCCTCGTCATCACTGTCACCGTCCTCGTGGTACTCCCCCCGCAGTGTGAACTCGACGTTCAAGTGGGCGAGGTAGAGCTTCATGAGTCGGGGTGTGTGCAGGGAGGAGAGAATAGACCGTGCTATACAGGTATTTTTTAACTGGAGTGTATGGAGGTTGGGCAGGGAAATGACAGGGAGATCAGCGGTGGGTGGATCATCGTTATGATGCCAGCTGATGAAGTGGAACGCTTCAAGTTGTGGGCATGCAGTTAGGAATTGGAGGATATCTCGAGGCTGATTGCGGATATCACTGAGGCTGTCCTCAGTGATAGTAACTGTAGTGAACCGCAAAGGCGCAAGGAGCTCTGCACGCGGAAGATCCAGCAGCCAGATATTCATGGAAAATTCATCGTCACTGTATATGAAGGTCTGCTTTGTCGGTTCCTCGACACCATCCTGAATATATACATTGAGGCAGTCGAGAGACTCGATGGTGATGTGAGGTTCCTTAGAGAAAATGTACACTTCCTCTCGGCTACCCGTGATTACAAAGGACCGCCAGCGTTCCACAGATGATATCAATGGTGAGAGCATTGGTAGTATCAGATCGGGGGATTCAACTTTTAGCTCAACGTCGATGGGCAAAGGCATTGATTGATGAACCCATAGCTCTGCCTGGGATCTGAGGAAAGAGGTAGAATAGGACTCGTCATCAAGAGATATAAACTGCCAGACCCGAGGAGATGAATTGACGATTGCTCTCCACCATTTAGATACTCTGCGCAAGACCAATGGAGCTAATGGGTCTCCAAGGGCGCAGGAGGAAAATATCTCTATGAGTAATTCTGGAGGGAGAACGGAAGTGTGGTTGTTCATGGGGTAGGTTGTCGTTCAGATTCAGGAAGGCATGTGGAGGCATTGAGCAAGACAGGCTAGTCAGGACACAGAAGCGCCCCATCGTGGGAAGAATCTCCTTACGCCTGTTTCGCGCAACCTCTCTTGAGCCTAGCCACGAAATTTGTGTTCGGAGCTAACGACCGACTCTACACTACCTCATAAACTAAACGATACTGGTAAATATTCACTATCAGTATGTCTTTTTTTGGGTCGCAAGCCAGTACGACCGCGTCCACAACCACCGCAGCGGCAGACAAGGATGTTGAGATGGGAGAGCCCCCGACCGATTCTATCTCTTCGATGGCTTTCTCCAGTCAGGCAGACTACCTCGCAGTGGGGAGCTGGGACAATAGTGTAAGTTTCGCAGGGCCTGTCTCCTTTTACATTCTTACTAAAGTATTAATGCCCAGGTACGAATTTACGAAGTGATGGCAGGCGGTCAGTCGCAAGGAAAGGCGATGTATCAACATCAAGGACCTGTCCTAAGTGTTTGTTGGAACAAGGTGTGCATCTATTGTCCTTTGGCGCGCGTTCCGGTCCTCAAAACCTTGTATTGTAGGAAGGGAACAAAATCTTCTCTGGAGGCGCGGATAACGCTGGGCGTATGTTTGATGTGACCACTGGCCAGTCCTCCCAAGTCGCGGCCCATGACGCGCCCGTCAGGGTTGTGAGATGGGTGGAAGCACCAGGTGGTGGAATTCTCGCGACGGGTAGCTGGGATAAGACCATCAAGGTACATGCTTTTTGTCTCATCTTTGCTACCTACCTACCGCGAAGTTCATTCTGCGCCTTCACTAGTACTGGGATTTGCGCGCTCCTCAGCCCGTAGCAACGGTGACGCTTCCCGAGAGGTGCTATACCTTTGATGTTCAATATCCCTTGATGGTGGTGGGCACGGCGGAGCGTCACATCCAGATATTCAATCTCACCAACCCCAATTCTGCGTACAAAGTTTGTATATTATATTGTCTATTATATTTTGGGTATCTCTAATTGACTACCCCAGACCCTTATCTCCCCACTAAAATGGCAAACACGTGTTGTTTCTTGTTTTACTGCTGCACCCGCGGCAAGTAGTGGGTTTGCGGTTGGTAGTGTCGAAGGCAGAGTGGCTATCCAGTGCGTTCCAAAACCTTTAATACAAAACATCCTCTCTGATTTTCTCCAGATATGTCGAAGATAAAGACTCTGCGTCAGTCCCGGTTTATCGATAATCCTCTCGTCACTCACTTAGTGTCACCTTCCAGGAACAACTTCTCGTTCAAATGCCACCGCCGTGATAACGTGCCGAACTCCAAAGATCAGGCCTTGGTGTATGCCGTCAATGATATATCCTTCCACCCAGTCCATGGAACATTCTCGACCTGTGGTACGCTTTACTCTAAATAACACCTCAAAAGTGGGCTTGGGCTTATTCATGTATCACAGGCTCTGACGGTACTATCCACTTCTGGGATAAGGACGCCCGCACACGTCTAAAGAGTTCGTCGGCTTTTCTTTAATTACGCCCTATCAAACTGATTTTTCCATCAGCCTTTGAGCCTGCCCCTGGTCCCATCTCTACTACAGCTTTCAATCGCAATGGTAGCATCTTCGCATATGCGGTCTCCTATGACTGGTCTAAGGGCCACTCTGGTATGACTCCTGGGCATCCGAACAAACTCATGCTTCATGCGTGTAAGGACGAGGAGGTTAGGAAACGGCCTAGAAAGTAGTTGGTTGTTTAGAAGTATCTGGTGGTTGGTGACGGCCTTCATCTCGTTTTATATGTACCTGTTCCTTCGTTGTGGTGTAATCAAGAGATTGCAGGCTCCATCCCTGCGGTAGTAATTTTTGAACATGAGTACTGAAGATATCGTTTTTGTTTATGAGGGTAATGCTCTTTCGCAAGCGCACAACAGGTCTTGAATCCCGCATTCTCTTACCTGCTTATGATCAAAAAAAAAAAAAAAAAAAAAAAAAAAAAAAAACCCTCACGAGTCCTATGGCCAATTGAGACGACTACTAAGTAGCAAAAAAAATTACCATAATAATAGTCCCCAACTGACCACCGCAGGGGTCGAACCTGCAATCTCCTGATCACGCCACGTCGTAGTCAGACGCGATGCCATTTCGCCAGGCGGCCCGTTGTCGAAGTAGTGTTACTCATATTGACATTAGATTCTGGAGATGAGCATTAGCATAGAGATCTTACACCACGAATTGTTGCTCGCAATTAATATAACCTATGCCAAAAACTAGTAAATTCTAGCTACGGCGTTGTGGCGATTAGCAAGAGAGATGCTCGCCACAAATGCTTACTCATCACTTAGACCCTGTTTTCGGACCCGAGAACATCACCTATGCCAAAAACTGGTAAATTCTGCGCAATTGACCACCGCAGGGGTCGAACCTGCAATCTCCTGATTAAACGGGGTCGTAGTCAGACGCGATGCCATTTCGCCAGGCGGCCAGCAGCCACCGACTTGCCATGTGAGTTTGCGCCACGAACTCGTATTAGCAATTGCGTAAAATTCAGACATCATCCAAAAGTGACCACCTCAGGGGTCGAAACTGCAATCTCCTGATTACACCGGGTCGTAGTCAGACGCGATGCCATTTCGCCAGGCGGCCAGATGTAAATGAAATGCATGGGTGTGGACCCCTTTTAGTTCTGCGCCACTAATCGCTTATACCAATCGTGTTTAACAGAAAATATCCGTTTCCATGAAATTGCGACATTCATTTCCTGCCTTCAATGAAAAAACCATCCTCAGTTCAGCTGTACGTTTTACGTACAAGATATCAGCAAGAATGTATTTCGTTACACATCAAGATTTGTGGGAAGACAAGCCTTCTATAATAATATATTACAGTTTTCAAGCTATTTCAGAATGAGGCGCGCGGGCATCAGAATGCCAGTTTTACTAGGAGTTCCACTTGATTTTTCCGCGCTAACCTGCGCTAACTATTTCTTGAAGGAAAAAAAGTGTGAAGATGTCGGATTATTAGATTCAGTAAAATCCCCTCGAATTTTTTTTCCCGCAACGTGCATGCAAATATGACATCGACACCGACAATGACATTGAAAAGTTAGTGCTCAGGGGATGCTGACTAATCGAAATGGGTGTTTTGAAGAACTGTACAGTTGAACGGAAAAAGCCGAAGCCGCCAGGCGCACGCGTTGGACACCAGAATTGATATACAGAAAGCCGCCAACGTCGAGCACGCCCTCCCCCGCGCCCGTTTCCTCAAGAAAAAACCAAAATCATGCCCGGCGTACGAGACATTAGGTAGAATCCCTGCTCAAGACTTCAATTCAAGCCACTCACAACATCTCTCCAGCGCAGAGGCGTTCATTACTGCCTATGCTTCGCATCTGAAACGCTCAGGAAAACTCGAGGTGCCTGTCTGGGTTGACCTCGTGAAAACTGGCTCATTCAAGGAGCTCGCACCCTACGATCCCGATTGGTACTATGTTCGCGCAGGTGTGTATCCTAACCTAGAGCTCTGATAATCCGAGATCCTGAGCTTACATTTGCATTTGCACAGCTGCTGTTGCACGGCACATATACCTCCGCAAGGACGTCGGCATTGGTGCCCTGACAAAACTCCATGGTGGCCGCAACAGGCGCGGTAACCGCCCCTCGCACCACGCCGACTCCTCTGCATCTGTGCAGCGCAAAATCTGCCAGTCCCTGGAGAAGATCGGTGTGCTTGAGCAGACAGACAACGGCGGACGGAGGATTTCCCAGGATGGTCAGCGTGATCTCGACCGCATTGCGACTGCTGTAGTTGAGGCTGCCAGGGAGGAGGACGACGATGAGGAGGAAGAGGATGAGGAAGAGGAGGAAGAGGAGGAAGAGTAGATGCAATCGCCACACCGTATGATCCTGCATTCTTCTCCGTTCTCCCTTGGTATGCAGCAGGCTCTTGTCGAAACATTTCCTTTTACCTCTGCTGGCGATATGAAGTCTATGAAAATGGACTAGAACTATTCCAGCGCCATCGTTTTCGAGAATACGATGTAAAAAGCGGACGTGAGCCTCAACTTCCTCCAAGGAGCAGGCCTTGTGGTCACTTAACTATCGGGTTTCTTTCGTGTACTAGAGAAGCGAGCTTTCTTTCATTTACAAAATTGAGATTGAGCTATGAAACTTGGAAGTCGGTATTTTTTTGTTTACCTACTTACCAAGCTCGAATAGAGCCTTTCAGCTTGCAATTTGTTGTAAGCCTGTATATGCGCTCTGATTGCGAAATGGAAAATTTCACTCTAAATCCTTCCCTCCATGAGATCACAAGGGATAGAAGAGCCTGTCGCGTTCGGTGAAATGATATAGATTGTTGCCTTTATGATAGCGCAGCCCTTCATAGTCATCGAAAGCTTGGTTTTTGCTTCGGTGAGCAGCGAGCACACACTAAACCGGTGGGGATGGCATTTTACTTGATCAAAAAAAAGAAGTTTCTCTGTCTCGGTGGGATTTTTGACCAAGTCGGGATTTTTCTATCATGTACCACGCCTCTCCCGACGCGCATTCCAATCTGGGATAATCCTCTGTACATGTCACATATTATTGAGAAGGCAATGATTCACTCTATGATATGACCATGTTCGGAGGTGCTACTACTGCGTCCTCCCAGCTGGCCGCCATCAAATACTCTTTTCCGCCAGAAGTCGGCTTTACGTAGTTCCGGTGGAATTTTTTCTTCAATCTGCATCTAGCTCCTCCTAGCACCAATTCCAGAGGGTATGCTAAAACTGGTGGGAAAACAATCCCATCCCCACTGTGCTTTGGTGCGTTTGATATAACAAGAATATATTGTTTTAATGCAGCACAAACGACCTCGAACTCAGAACAGCTCAACAGAATCATAGACAAAGTTAGGGCTGAGGAAGTCAGAGCCTCCATTACCACTTCCAACACTAATCTGGATGGTGTTCGTGCCAGAGACCAGTGTGCCTAGAAGGCACCGATGTGTCAGAATATTATTACGCGAATGTGGCTTTTAAAAAGGAGACGGACCTGAGGGGATGGCGAAATCGTCTGAAGGTTTCAATATGTGCGGTTAGTAATATTTTAAAGACGGCAGGAAATAATACGCACAGACTTGGTTGATGCCGCGCCATGTACCACGAGTGACACTTGAAATGGTAAAAATGCTTATAAGAAAATTACTGATATAATACGAGACGCCAGAGCATACCCTCTGGAATTTATACTGGGGGGAGCTAGATGCAGAGATTCAGTTGTAATGATTTTTCCATAAAAGAGGGGGTTTGTTACCAGCGGGAAGACTTGAGGTCCAGTTGTTAACCGTAATTTGCGGTCGGCCACCGGAGAAGGCTTCGGTAGTGCGGATACGGAGAGTACGAGCGCCTTGTCTTAAATTTAGATATAATTTCTGGATATAATTTGTGCCACACATACCGATCTGCGAGGACGATGCGTTCCATTTGATAGTCGTGGGATTGTTGACCTGAAAATCTCCGTCAACATTGTAAACTAGAGTGCGAACAATATCAAGACTCTCACAGCTTTGAATTGGGCCATAGGGAAAGAGTTTGGGGAACTGGAGCCTATTGTAAATGTCACCGGTCCCCATTTACTCATCCTAGAGTCGGAACTTTAAGAAGGAGGTTAGGAACGAAGGGAGACAAGAAGTGAGAGCTATTCACGGATGCATAGTTTCTATCTTATCAGCATTGAGGAATCTAAAAAAGCATAATCAGTTTCTTGCACTGGGCATGAATTTGGCGCGCCGACAAACCCAACTGGCGACCCGTCGACCGTGCCAATGGACCAAAGTGTATTTGGTCGGTTAAGCGAAGAGGACAGCGTAAGCGAGGAGGTTTGTCCTGCACGGACGGTCACACTGCCGGTGCCAGCCTCGAGTTCTCCTTGGTAGAGTGTTGCGGTGTATGTGCCTGGCTTCATCAATGTACGTGTGAAACTCCCTCTATGACCATCGCTCAACGGCTGGTAATATAAAACAGAGAAGTACGTTACCCAGATGCGGAGACCCAGTATTGGGCTGCAGAGTTCTGCCATCAACTGGGGTGAGTCTTAAAAAAGATGTTAAAATATGTATATGTACCTTGAACCCAATAGTAACACCAGGGCCTGAGATAGTGCCAGAATAAGAGCCAGAGACAGTACCACGCCCTGAAGCAGGAACGTAGCCTTGGAGTCCGAGGTTGTCCATGAAGCCAGTGTCCAAGTTCGCAGAAGGAGCTCCGCCAGAGGTGATGGCCAATGCATAACTTGGATTCAAGTCAATTACCAACTAAATTTGAATAATAGAGAAGAAACCAACGGTCCGAAGAAACCAGTGCGGTAGGGCAGTTCTGTTTGCTGGTGACCTGAGTTCATATAGAAATAAAGCTCCTGCTGGGTGCTTCCCTGATTGTTGATATCTAAGAGAATAATCAGACACAGCGCCATAGTTTTTAGCCGAGGCATCTTACCACGGAAGAAGGGACCACCGGATGAGGTTTCATAACTGACGCTGGGGACTATGATGTATGCGCCAACTCCATTGCCGGTTACTCCGTGAACTTGATCGCGAATGAACGGTACCTATGGAGATTTTAGTTCTAATACTGACTTCGATGACGCGATTAATGTTGGGCTTACACTCGAGAAGAATTTTGACCGAGTTTGGCCATTAACCGAGTATACATCTGACCCCTCGATAGCTGTTCCGCCACCGATCTCAGCGTTGGGATGGCCATTTGGCAAGGCTGATTTTGATAGGCGAGCGAGGAAGCGGAATTCTCCTACGGGTGGCTCGGCGGAGGCGTATGTACCAATGTAAAGGGTGTTGATGCCAGAACGAACAATGTAATAATGAGTCTTTTTGCAGGTTCAGCATCCTGAAAGAAGGATCATGTGGAAGATAATTACGATTGTTGCGGTCTTGATCGTCACGACACCGATATTATTCGCGACTGAGGAAGTGACAGTAGCAGAACCTGGACTATGATGATTAACGACTTGTAAAAGTACAAATTTGATAGGGAGAGACCTAATCCAGAGCTAAGATGCGTGTACTTGGAACCATCCTGGAGCTGTTTGCCATTGTAGTTGAGAGAGGTAATATCTCCGTTGGACTTGTTGACTGAATCCACTCATACATCAATCCTCCACCCCACAATCATGAATTTTATTTACGCACTAGTGGTCACAAGTCCGGCGCCAGTGTCAACGAGGAGATTGTTTCCAGAAGTTGTGATTCCAAAAGCAGCAAAAGCAGCGGGGAGGAATGCCAGTAAAATTGCAAAAAGGAGCTTCATTGTGGCCTGAGAGGTAGTCCATCCCACCCCAAGATGGTTGTCTTTTATACATCCTAGCCCCAGCTTGACGGATTTTCTTCGTTAACTTGTAGGAGGCCGCCGACTGTCAATTCAAAAGTGCGGGCGCCGCAGACTATATGTTATAATATTCGAAACAGCGAAGCAGATCCATATGCGCG